TGAAACCCTGGCAGTATGGTGCCAGGAGAACAACCTCTCTCTGAACATCAGTAAGACTAAGGAGATGATTGTGGAATATAGGAAACATCAGGGTGGAGATCATACACTTATTCACATCAATGGGACTGCAGTGGAGAGGGTCAGCAGCTTTAAATTCCTGGGAGTTAACATCTCAGAGGATTTAACCTGGACCCACCACACTAAGCATCCAGGAGATCTACTCAACTAGATGTCTGAAGAAGGCCAGGTCCATTCTCAAGGACCCCAGTCATCCCAGTCACAAACTGTTTTCCCTCCTACCATCCGGTAAACGGTACCAAAGCATTCGTTCCAGGTCCAACAGACTACGGAACAGCTTCTACCTCCAGGCAATAAGACTGCTAAATAGCCAACCTGTAGCTCCTTAGCAAATCACCTGTAATGGCTACATGGACACACAATTCTCACTATATTCAGCATAACTGCACTACATGTATATATTGCACACACCATGGACACATAACAGCTCTACTCACATTGAGTTTTATTCAATTTAAAAAATGTAACCTCACTTTTGTGATTTTTTGTGTTTTTGTGAATTTTTTTGATTTTTGTGATTCTTGTGATTCTTGTAATTTTTGTGAGCTCGCAGAAAAAGACATTTCATTGCCAGCAACTACTGCTGCACGCCGTATTGTTGTGCATTTGATAAATAAACTTTGATTGATTGATTGATTGATTGGTTGAGGAATTCTGGCCCACTCCTCATTACAAAACTGCTTCAGCTCGGTGATGTTTGAGGGCATTCTTTTATACACAGCTTTCTTTAGGTCTTTAGGTTTAACCCTAACCCCTAACCCTAACCCTAACCCTAACCCAGACATTCAGTTGTAGATTAACTGGTGTGTTTTGGATCATTGTCCTATTGCATGATCCACATTCGGCTAAGCCTTAGCTGTTGGACAGATGGTTTCACATATTCCTCTAGAATGTGCTGGTATAGAGAAGAATTCATGGTGATTCTAAAGCAGCTGCACTTGAAAACCTGACCCAAATCATCACCCCTCCACCACCATGCCGATGATTGGTATCGGGTTCTTGTGGTGATACTCATTGTTTGGTTTTTGCCACAAGTGTCATTTTGCATTGTGGTCAAACAACTCCACTTTGGTCTCATCTGTCTGGATGACATTGTTCCAGAAGTCTTGTGGTTCGTTCAGGTGTAGTTTTGCACACCTAAGCCTTACAGCAATGCTCCTTTGGAGTGAAGGGTTTTCTCCTGGCCACTGTTCCACGAACATTGTACTTCTTCAGACTTTTCCTAAGAGTTGAATCTAATTCTAATGTTTACAATATTGACAGAGGCCTGTAGCTCCCTGGATGTAGCTCTGGGGTTTGTTGTGATCTTTAGGAGCATCATACAGTTTGATCTTGGGGTGAATTTGCTGGGACCCCCACTCTGGGTAAATTGGAAACTGTCTTGAACTTTCTCCATTGTAAATGATCTTTTTTTGTATTGAGGATTGATGGACTTCATACTGTCTGGAAAAGGCTTTATAACTCTTCCCAGCCTGAAGAGCAACAACGATTCTTTCTCTGAGACTGTCACAGATCTCTTTTAACCTAGACATGATGTGTTAACCCTAGCCAGAATGCTCCAGACAACCTGACAAAATTTCTGATTTATATATAGATGTAAACATTTCCTGATGATCACTTAATCATGTACATTTGGTTACCCGATTGTAATTACCTTCTAGACTGGCATGGAAGCAGTCAGGGTGCACTTGCTTTTCTACACAAGGCTTCTGACTGTTGGCTGATTTTGTTGTTTAATAAATAATGACAAAGTAAAATGTATGTATTTTATCTGTCACACGAGGTTAGATTTATGTACCGTTAGGACCTGGTGAAGGCCAGATATGCCTTAATATGTAAAACCATACAATCTTAAGAGGATGTACTTTCTTTTTCACATCACTGTACATACAGTATTTGTATCCACTGTAGATATTGCAATGAATAGCATTTTCAAAGACTATATCATTATAAACCAGGCATTATGCTTGAGGGTGAAGCATTCAAAGGTGAGAAACACAAATGTCATTCTGTCAGTAAAACTTTAACCTTTCCCAAGCAAGTTCAAAGTGCTTTTTTTCAGAGGAAGCTGTGCTTAAATTGCACTCCCTACCTCCTTTTTAATAAAACTCATAAAAAGGTCACATTACACTCTCCCTAGGGCAGGAAAGACAGTATTTTGTTTTAGGAAATGAAGATCATATTATATTAACATCATGCTAATTAGCACAGTGTTGTTTCATATTAAAACAAATAGTACAAATGAAACGGGATCTAGTCAACAGTTTATAATCAATAACTTCATTAGAAGTGTAAATTGTTAAATATACCCTGGTCGCAAAGCAGATCAAGATTTTTGTTATGTGTTGTCAAGTGTATTCTTTTCACAAACTCTATGCCCATTCTTGAATTTCAGACTTTGGATCATACTTGGATAAAGCTGACGTAAGTTGAATTAGTTGCTCATGTAAGGAAACAACCCAAGGACTATTCCTGATGAACAAGTTACAAGATTCACCCTGGAAGAGAAACCAGTCTATGTCAGAACACAAACACACCCAGGGAAAATGCAGAAATATGAATTAGCGTGACTTACACAGACACATTCTGGTCATGCCCAAAAATATAACAATATTGGAAATCTATACATACAACAATATAGTAAATGTGAACATACCATGTGACTTTTCTGTTTTGTATTTGGGCAATTTGACTGATCATATTGAAGTAAAGGATAGATACATCTTGGGGATTATTTTAGCAGCTAATAGTACTCTTCTTTCTCTTTATAGTAAAAAAGCAATCACAAGAAAATGGCTTAGAAAAGAATCTCCAACACGTGAACAATGGGTTAATGTTGTGAGTGAACTCTTTAGAATGGAAAAGATCATTTTTTTTCTCTCAGGTTACAGGCAGAGAGGTTTAAGAAATACTGGGAAACATGGATTCATTTTGTCTCCCCAATGAGACCCAATTTCAGTTTATGAGGGAATATACAGTAATATTTCTGTGTGGACTACTTTGTTATTTGTTGTGTTTCTCATTAAACAATTGTATTGTCTTGTATAACCCCCCCACATATCTGCTGGCATAATGTAAATAGTTTATTTTATATGTATGAACATATAACAAAAATGAAAGATGAAGGCAAACGTTTATATTGCTGTTTTGGATGTGTTCTGTTTGTAATTTTTTTCATCGCTAAATAGTTAAAAAAAAGACATGAATTAGCATGTCTTTGGGAGATAAGAGGTATGTACTGTAAATCACAACCCAACAAGCCTCCACAGAACGTGCCCCATTCTGGATTCGAACTCGAGAGCTACGACACAGAAGCCTGAACCTCCACGCCACAGGCGCACCTGCTGCGCAATAACAAGAAAGACAAACACTTACTGACAACGTGTCGTATCTGCATACAGTCAGGACTTCACTACGCTGAGACTCAGAAACATCAAACGCTTCACGCATAACTAGATCTTAACTAGTTCACACTATCCTCTTTCAAAGCATACAAATAAAGTCAAAGATGCCCACAGAAGAGAATCTATTACAACACCCAACTATTAGTATACACTTTTTAGGACACTCTTCTAGTACAGTTTTTCATACGTCTGTGGCATTTTGAAACTCCAATAAGGATGTATGAACTCAACCTCCTAGTTTCTTATTTCCTTGGCTGAGAAAGTCAAAATGACCGCAAATCACTGTTCTTATAAACCAGTAGAGAGAAAACGGCTTCATCGAGTATCGATCAATTACGAAATGAATACCACACGGGGTTTTTCTCCAGGGACAATTATATGGTTAGGATCTCTCTTCAGATGCTGATCCTAAATGCGCTGCAGATTTTCAAATCTGATTTGAAGAGATCAGAGCAAAATATATGAGTTCAAGTTTTACTCTTCTTTCTCTTTATTATTAACTCAATAATTCACAAAATCGACCATTGACAGCATATACTGTCATTGGGATACCGGTTCGATCTCATTTCATTCGCTGTCATATAAGAAAGTCATCTGGGTTCCTCCATCATGTATATCTGTTACATCTTGTAACAGGTGTTCGGTTCCTGGTCCGTTGAACATTTTTTAAAAAACTGAAATCGGACAGAAACAAGAACGAAATACCAGGTTAAATTAAAGCCGGTATTTTGAGGCTGAGATCAGGAAGGCTTAGTAACACTAAAGCGCAAATGGACTCTTAACGGACAGTTTAAGCGGGTCGTCATTTTTGTAAAGGTTCTCTAGGAATGGAAACAGCAAAGAAAATTGTTTTTCGTATTGTAGTATAAAAGACAATCAGAATTCCCTATGAAAACAATAGTTTTGATTAAATATTTTGCCTTAGCCTACACTACTAAAAAGTGACAGGCTATCCAGATTTAAATAGCAAGCTGAAAAACTGTTCGGCACTGTTCGGTCTTGTAGAGATTTTGCATGCAAGACCGCACCAGCATGCAATATGCAATTCTACATGTTCAAATATCTAAGAAACATTTTATTTAAAAGATGAAAAGACGTCTTCATGTAAAACCAAAGCCTACAATTAGAAACCTGAAGGTTTTTTTTTTTCAGAAACAGTGAGAATGCATTCGGTACAGCTTCCTTTTTGTTTAATCACATCGTTCACAATCTACGTAATTGGTCTCTAAAAAAAACTATTTTTTTAACTGTATAGGTAAAATATTAAAGGAATTGAACGTAAAAAGACAAGCTTACATGAAGTCACGCCCATATATCAAAAAGTAACAAAGTGCCTAGCAACCTTACAGGGGGTTGAATTTGCTCCACGCAACATTTACCAGATTCATTTTCATATCCTTTGCTTTTTTCCTGTAACTGGTTTTAAAAAAAATACATTTTCACCATGAAATTCTCCATAAATCTATTCCGTGAAAGGTGTCTGTAATCATTTGTTGCTATGATAAATAACCAACTTACCTCACTGAAAAATGAATTCCAAAGGAATGTCGACGAAAAACCAGATGAGTTAAAACACAAATGAGCTTGTGGTACAATAAAATATATTCCACCCTCCTGTCTTGGCTTGCTTTGAAATGGCGGCTTGTTTGTAAAAATCCGACACATCCAGGGCTCAGATTCCTTTGTCAAGGATACAGTACATTGTAGCTATGAACAAGGCCCGCCTCCTGGGGGCATAGACGCTTTCTGGTTGGCTAATGTACACTCTCACTTTGCCCGTTTCTCGCTGTCATTGGTGGAATGGAAAGCCCGTCTTCTCCGGCCCGTGTTCGGAATGCGAGCACGCAGAAGCGGTTCGGTGTTGATGCTGAGTCCAAGCAGCGGGAAAGTTTAGAAAACGTCACAAAAAAACTAAGTACCAAAATCGCCTCTAGTAGTCAAATGTTTAGATACACCAACGCTACGGGTTTCAAGAAATCAATTTGTGGACCACAATGGCCTCAGTTTGTACGCTCATTAAACATAGTGGTGCATTGCAAGGTGGAAGATGTCAGCCTTCGTCTTTGCTGGGGATTGGCGTGAGTCGTGTCTTGCCAGTTCAGTAACAGTTGAAAACAACTCGGCTAGCGAGCAAAGCACTTTTTGTCAACAAAACAATGTGTATACCAACTGTACAGAGGTGCAGACGTGAAGCGTACACGAGGCCTAGACCATAAACAAAATGTTGTGACATATTCTGGCCTATTATAACCCTTGAGGTGCATCGAGTACAGTTCAATGACCTACATCCATATTTAACGCAGTATTGAACACATTATACGATGTGCTAAAAATAACTATGGGTGAATGTTTTTTCAATAAAAATGCAACACGGTCTGCAATACCTAGAATACTTGGTTAATTGTTTGGCGAATTACAGACTATATCCAAGTCTCATACAATAATAGCGACGGTAATTAACAGAAAAATAACATAAATAAAAACCTTTTCAATATCCGCATAGACAAACGTGGGGCCAGGTAGGACACGGCACATGTACACAGGTACTAGAGGTACTAAATGAAAACAAGTAAAACGTGCTATAGTCGTAGATTAAGAATCGTGTTACCGTACTGCGTTGAGAATTGGATCATATAGGGAAGGATATATATCAGAATATAACAGCAACTTCTTACTGCAATAATATTGTCGCTACGTAATGATATTAACCACTTTGACGACAAAATGTATTGTAAAGTTGAACAAAAAATTGCATTCAAAATTCTCTTGCACTGTATTTATTAATAATGAATGAAAAGATCATCAGTGTTACAGCTACTTGCACGTAGCACGTAGACTTTAGTATGAGTTGTGTTAAATATACTGTAATAAGATATTCAGTTTAGAGAGAACTCTTTTGACTCTTAAATGTCACATCCGGATGTCACTTGGTCAATTCTATTATTATTTTTACGCAACATGACACTAGGAGGGGAGCAATGATTTTAAGGAAAAGGGGGGCTCAGAGGGTAAATTCTAAATGCAATGATTTTAATAGTGGGGAGTGTAATAGGATCATACAAATGTTAAAGCCTCCATCATAGACATGTAAAGAATATTTGGGTACTGTACTGCGGGACTTTTATAATCACGGGTGTTGTACGTGACAGGTAGATTTATAGAAAATACAGACTCTCAAGAAGAGGAAACGCAACACGAGAAAAGATCTGAATTAAACCAAATAAAAATGTTAATTATGTTCGTTTACAATTGCAAACCAAATGCAGAACGTGGTTTCAAAAATCCAAAGGCTCTTTCAATATACAATACATTTTCTCTCCTCTTATGGCAACAACAAACATTATTCAAATGTGATTTTAGACAAATTTAATTGTATTTAAAATTATTAAATTTATTTAATTTAATTTAATAACAGTCTAACATATTTAGCTACTACACTGTGTCATCTGGTTATGGCCTCTCAATTGACTCTCAAATGGCAATTGACAATTGATAGAACTACTGTATACCCGAGCGTATTGATGTCAATTGTGTCCTTCGTCCGTGTAAACGAATTGGGATGTGAATACATCCCGTGACTGATTAAGTAGTACTGTATTACTTGCTAGTACAGTTATTAGCTGGTGCTTTAAGCCAATGATTGTATTAACACTACTCTCTGTATTTCGTCTGTACAGAGTGTTACAGCTATTTACTAGTTTATGATTATACAATCATTACTGATATAATATGTGCAATTATATATTAATATATTATACACGTATTAAAGTGCGCAACATAGTAAAGTGACGTAACTGAAACGAATATATTAAAGGTCGTTGAGCATAAGTACAGCACACTATTTCGATAAAATGAGAAAAGGCTCAGTTGAGGTGGAGCAAATCCTGTACAAAACATGAAAAAGCATGATACGTTTATAGGCCTACAGATAAAAGCGGCTTAGTAACAAAAAAAACGAATAGACAAGGTGTTCTCACAAGTCTATGAATTGTACCATGTGTTGTTCATTATTATAAAAGAAGATTGAAGCCAGTGTGTTACACGCCACAAACCCAGGCTGTGCTCGTAACATTAGTTTGTTGCATATACTTGAGTAATGTATAGGGAGTTTCATCCCCTCACACGGACTGTTTTTAATTGAAAACAAACATTAAATTATCACATGCATACATCCCATATTTGACACTACATTACAAGTATACATAAATGTAGACCTACTCTGAAATTAAATATTGCCAAATAAATATTCTTTTATGTACACAAATAATTAAAGTATTCTGATTCCGAGCCCCCATCAGTTTCTATTTGGTAGAGCGACGGCAAGGCTTCATCTTTAGGGTCGCAATATGGACTGTATCAGCAGCTTTCCGAATTCGTCTCTTGTTTTTTTTTCCTTCGGTTGCAATTGAGCACGCAGCCGAGGGGCAAAATGAAGACAACACCATACCGGCTAGCACGAAGTTTAGTACGCAGTATTGTACATATACAACACACTCGTAGCAATTGAGCACATAGTGAGGACAACACTAGGATAAAACTCGAGCAAACCCCACGTGACCACAGGGATCACACAAACTGCACATATAAGGCGCCGGAATCTCATCCACAAACCGAATAGCAGGCACCACCGAAACAGACGACCGCTGCAGCAACAGTAATTCCTAATGTAATGACGTTCTCTATAATCTACTGTTAAAATATACCTATACCTATAGTGGGTGTAATTGTGTCCGCAATTAATATTAGGATCAGCGAAAACGCTGGTATACGTAATATATGTAATGTAATGTATTTGTGATGTTTTGAGGTTGATCAGATAAAACAATCTCGATGGTACTCGGGCTCAGGAACTCCTTCCCAATCATATTAAATCCCTTCTGGCAAATTCTGAGAGACTTCTGCGGTGATAGTGAAAGATGTTTGACATTTTGTCGTTTGCACTTTCCGTTGTCAAATGCAGAAAGTTTTTGGAATATATGATCTAAAGCAAATTAAAACCAATCGAAGCAACTATAATGACGTGCGAGTGCAGCACCAAACACCAGACCCCGGCTCCCCTTTGGATGAGCACACTCCTTTCATAAAATACACGTAACGTGTCCAGTTTATGTGGCTGCACACCCGCAGTTGTGATATTGTAAATTAAGAACTTGGCTAAAGTCTAAATAAAAATTTGTTTTATTTCATCGACATTAGTATAACAATAAAGCAAAATATACAAAAAATGTAACACAGGCGCAACCAATCATGCAACCACAAACATACAAAGCAATACAGAATTAACCCTCAAGACACGAGAAGCAGCTAAATCAAGCCAATTAAATCTCATCATTGAAGAAAGGAAAAACACGCTATTTTACAAAGAACTTCAGGAAAAAAAAGTTCATCCCAAAACAGCAAGCATCTGTATTCATCATGATTTTTTGAATAGTATTTGCTTTTGTGCAGTCCGCTCTGAGTAAACGTTTCCATTGGATAACAGTTCCTTATTTCACTGAAGCTCTTGGGGTTTTCGCAGCAGGTCGGAAAGTTCGTTAATATATTGAATGGTGTATTTCAAGGTTTGAATTTTGGTGAGGGGCTGTCCCCTCTGGCTGTAATCCGGAGGTAAATAATCTCGCAGCTGGTGGAGGGCATCAGCCAGGCTCCTCATGCGCATCTTTTCTCTTTCGCTGGCCTTCATCCTCCGTTTGGTTGTCATTTTGGGTTTGGCAGGCTTCCTTCCTTGTGAGCTGGACGAGGCCGCGGAGCCGTGCAGAGGCAGGTGATACGGAAAAGTGGCCGGAGTCCGGTATCCCACAACGCCGTGTGCCGTCTCTGGCGAAGAGCACATGGAGTCGAACGAAGATTCCGGGGACATACTGTGCGGAGACGGCCCCTGGCCGGTCCCTTCTGTCGACCAGTTCCAGTCAACGAGTATCTTGGAGGTAAAGTGGTCCAGATCAGTATCCAGATCAAGCGCATCTTCGGGCAGGTTCTCCATGCCGAGAGCGCACTTTCTCCCTCCACACCCGTTAAGTCGAGGTTTTGTAGCGGTTCAAGGAAAAAGGATCGAGAAGGGCCGCCTTTATATCGGAGGGCGACATCTCTAGCAGTTCGTGTTCACAGCTGAGAGCCGAAGTTCAAAGAAAGGGAAAGTGCCAACAACACAACCTTTCTAACAGCTCTGGCGAGGACAGCTTTCATTCATTATCACAAGTACGTGAAGTAGCCGTAAACAGCCAGGTAAAGTGTAGCAGCAAGAAAAATAATTAGATTGGCCATTGTGTGAACAGTGGTTTACATCGGTATTACTGCAATTATCAGAGTGGTGCGAGCAGGCTAATGAAGACGTAGAAAACCGCTAACTTATACACCAGGAGTTTTTACATTATCGGAGAAGGCGGAATTCCGCGTGTTATTGAACATAATATGTCTGCTCTAAATTTAGGGTTGAAAGCAACAAGATTAGATTCCGCGGTCTAAATTCGTTTCACAAATAATATGAAACTATTTTTTCATTTCTTACTTCACATTTCTCTATTTGAAATGTTCCCAATTTCACTGGGATATTACAGAAGCGTAACTCACTGTTAGGCAAGTTTCAGAGCTAGAAGTGAGATTGTTAGAACATTCCAGTTTACAAGTGATTTTGATTTCCTCTGCATGCAAATTAAACCACTCTGTCATAAAAATTTGGGAAATCTTTTTTCCCCAAATTATGGCATAGCGTTATAGATTATTTTAATGTAGCATTCGCGGGATGCTTTTTAGAATAGAAGAAGAGTAAAATTCCATATTGTTACAATTTCATTCTTTTCAAGAGTTAAATGCATATCATTTATAACAGGACAAGACTGTAGCAAAGCACAAAGAATTAGCAAGAAACCAGACTCGCTTTCGCAATTGATGTAATGCATGTTTTCCTTGTAAGATGTGAAATTAAAACATTGTAAAGAGAACCTAATCAATTTCTCATATTTGTATCTGCATTTTTAGAAAGCCATGGACAGGGCGTAATATTTAAAGGAAGGTGCCAATGTCATCATTTAACACACCAAGTGAAGCCCCCTATTAAGTTTGGAAATCGTTTAAAGTTAGAAAAAGAAGTACGCTATTTTTGTGTAGAGTGATCTGTAAATAACAGACGTGGCGCTCATCAAATACATTTGCAGAGCATTGTTAAATGGTCATTGTGACTTTAAAGGCTAATAAATCATGTTCGTAACGCAGACAGGCGGTTTTACTTTTGAGGAATCTTAAATCAAAACGGCTCTCAAGTCGGCGGGGTACATAGCATCCAGAAATCATCACCAGGAAGTGAAATGTACTTCCACAACACGTTTCACACGATTTTACAATTAGCTACGTAAATATATATATATAAATGTTATGGTTTTTAATTGTGGGAAATATGATTTAAATAAGATAACACAAATTTTAAAGCCTAGTTTATAGGCATTTAAAGAAAGTTAAGAAGCCGTACTGTACACTTTTAAAATGGTGCTATAAGTGACAAGTAGTTGCAAAGACACTGCAAACTTTCCAGAAGGTGAAAAGTGACCCAGGGAAAAGATCGGAATTAAAATAAAAACGATAGAACATAGTTAATAATGAAATTATAATTTTACAATTGCTACGAATAATAAGATTTAGGATCTCAGTATTTTGCGCGTGGTTTGTAAAATTTCTGAGTACAATACATTTCTGAGTAAAAGACATTTAAAACTATGAAAAATGATGAATTTCCCGCTGTTGCTAATTTGCCAGAGCCCAGAATGTCAAGAGTATTCTGGAAACAAAAATCCGTTCAAGGAAACATGCCTGGAGTCTCTACAACACGGTGGACGCAAGATGCTAAAGGTAAATGTGAAAATGTTTTTTTCCACTAACAAAAAGTGAAAACAATGCTCTGGGGACGTTAATACAACTTTTACTGAAGCAAAATACTACATTTGAAAAACCCGTTACAACAACAGTACATTTAATTGATATTTCAGATTCCTAGTCACACGGTAGTCATTCTGGTGTGATTCCGTATTGCATACCATGTAAACAATTTAAATGGTTTAGTAACTTGAGCTTTTAAAATGTGTATAAAGTCGGATATCGTGAAGTACTATATATATGAGTGAGCCACGAAAATCCACAAAATCATTCATTGATCATATCAGCTGATCAGATTTGGTATCTTCTCTACTCGTCTTATTTTAAGAGCACTAGATGTCCATCCATCTATTCACTGCTCGGTCGTATCCATTTCTTCAGGGAAGAAATGTCTTCCTCACAAATGAAAGAACTCTTTCATGTCTGAGTAGGTGTGCTTTGCGTCACTCATAATAAAGGAACTCCGACAGACTGACTCTGGCCTCTTTTAGCCTAAGCGCTACTGAGAGATCAACACGGTAATAGTGGAAATCCTTACACTTTGCTCCTGGGAAACAGCACCTTAACACCGTGGAAACGATTATTAGGACGGTGCTGAATCTTTCATCTCTTACTCCTTAAAGTTTTAATGGGAATAATACCAGCTTTGAAGAAGCATCTCGCCTTTCAAGTAAATCTATTCCCCTGTTCTTAGTTGTAAAAAGGTAACCGGTGCGGGGAGATGCCTTCTTTTCACGAAAATAAAACCCGTTACGTAACGTATTTTTAAATCTGTGAAGATGTCGAAGATATTACATTTAATCATTCTACGACAGTTCTCCTACAGCTATGATTTATTATTCCTTAAGCCAATTAATTATTCAATCGAATAAGCCTGCGCTCTGTCCACAGGCTTATCTCCCTGTCTGTATGTCTGTGTGTCTCATGGAGAGCAAGCTGGGGTATGCGAAAAGACAAATTCCTAATACAAGACATTGTATATGGCCAATAAAGCGATCTTATCTTATCTATCTTGATCAATTTAATTGATTGATTGGAATGTAATTATTCCCATTTAATGGTCCATGAGGTGCGATTTGTGTATGCATACCCGAAGCGCGGCCGTATAGGGAAATTAAAAACCTGTCACAGCTGTATATTTTAAACGAATGTGAGTTGTACTTCACTGAGCTTTTGTTGCTTAAAAACAGTCACATTATCTTTTTACAATATGCCCTTTTCTTTATTTTTTGGTTCAACAAATAGAAATAAGTATTACAGCAATTTTATAAAAATATACTTTTTTCTTGTAAAAATACAATTGGCCAAACAATAATTTGTCAGACCTACAGTATGTTTGAGAAACAACTTGACAGACTTGAGGAATTGTGTTCTTAAAGGAAACCAAGGGGAGTTAATGCTATATTTAAAAAGTACTCTCTATTACGGGAGACCTTTATGTTTCTGCTGAGATACTGTTCTTAAAATATGAAAGTTGAGAAGATGAGAAGAGGAAATTCTACTGATTTGCTCTTTGGCTGGCAGATGTGAAATCAGTCGGAACTACAACAAGGTCTACTGAAGACTTTTAATACATTACACATTGATCGGTAGTTTTTAAACTATCATAATTTATATAACTAAAATTGTTTTAAATGCATCTGCAATCAAAATCTTGTATCAGCTAAAAGTGATTGCATACTACTGTACATCCACTATTTTCATTCATTAGCTTATTGTGCATGAAGTTTTGGGGATTTTTGAAAATAAGACTTTTTACACATACTCATTTACTCACAGTTTCATCTCCTTTGCTCTTTAGTTTTGCAATTGCAATTACTATTAGCAAACAGATGTTTTAGGTGTCATAATTTAAGATGGGCTTTATGCAGTTTTGGAAGGATCTGTAATGTCTCAAGGAATTTAAAATGGTTTTATCAAGTGAACACACAATAACTCAATATTTTACAGGATACAAAAACAAAATATGAATGTATTTATTGGAAAAAATACACAAGTCCAATACGGTTTCATACAATGTGACTGCTGCAACAACAAAAACAAAATCATAACCTCTAATGTGTTTTTTAACTGCATTAGAAATGTTTTACCAATGCCCACTTTCATAGAAGTCTATAGGTTTACTGGCATAATATACTAGTTGTCACTCATAAAAGGTACATATAAAGTGTCATTATTCACATAAAAGTATATATACAATGTTACAACTCACATAATTTTAATTTAGTTTCAATCACCTACAACTTCAATCAATTTGACGAACAAAAAATATGAAAATAATTTTTAGTGTTGACAGCTCTCTTAATGTTTAGCACAATCAAGCTAGTTTTCTGATACTTAAAAGCAGCTACAGATATTTACACAAGTTTACAGTGAATTACAATGAAATAATTTTAAAATAGAGAATAAAGACACTAGAACATAATTCTCTATGTAAAATTTGCAACAATTAAAAATGAAGACAATTACACAAATATTAGAAATACAGAATTAACTAACACAAAAAGTAGAAAATAACTACCAGGAAAGGGCATTACAAATTCTGTTAATTTCATTTTAAAATACATTAGCTACTGAACTTGAGCTTCAGCCTTTCAGCTAGAGGCAGCGGGCTGTCTAATAAAATAACAGAATCATCTGCTACATTATCACATGTGTGAGAAAGAGCTTTAGGACTCTGAGAATTAAGGTCAAAAGTGCAACTCTGGTCCCCTATTATAATTTCTTCATTATCAACAATTATTTGTTTCTTCGCTTTCATTTCTGCATGATTATTTTTATTTTGCTCCACAGAAGCTGTCTGTGATACAAGATCTGCAGTATGGAAGTCTGCTCTCAGAGAAGCCGAATTGCCTTCTGTCTTGGCTGGCTTTCGGATTTTATTACTGACGGATGTGTACTTCTGTTCAGGTTTAGAAAGAACCACCTTTTTATGGCCTTTGAGTATTTTATTCTCTAAATCGCTGTCCTCGCTAGATGAATACAGTACATGGCATTCACTCTTTTTAAAGACATTTTTCTTTCTGCCTTTGTGAACAGGCTGGTCGGCTACATTGGTGCTACTTAGCCTCTGTACTCCACTGGAAGGTTTAGTTATGCTGCTAGTCTTAAGAAACTGTTTTTTTTCCAATGACTTATTAGAGTTCTTTGCACATTGCTTAATTCTACTGACTGCCTTCTGATTTGTGAGAGGCATGTCTGCTTTTGGAAGAGAAGAGATTGTATTCTGCTTACTAAAAGATTTCTGATGATAATTCAGCAATGTGTTTTCAGCACAAATCTGTTCTTTTGCTGTCTGTATAGTCTTTTTGATGGCATTCGTGGGTGATGTTATTGGTTTCTGGAACATAGTATTGTGCCCTGCGGGAATCAGGTATTTTGGCTGAGCTTTGTGCCTTACGTTGTCACCAGCTGCATGCTGAATATGAGAGTTATTGGACTGACTAAAGTTCTTCATAATAACACGCTCTCTTAAAGAAAGCTCTGAAACGGGCAGCTTTGTCCCTTGATTTGAAAATCTCTCGCAATGCAAAACTGTGGGTTTTATTACTTTATTACAGGAACTGAAATCACCAGATTCGCCAGTGCTCTCGCCATTGCAGTTGACACCTTTTTGAGGTGTAACATTATTTGGTTCAGATGCTGCGTTTTGCAGTTGTGGAGGTGGAGATGCACCAAAGGATGTTGCTGCCCAGTCAATGTCACTCAGATGCAGCACATCTATTACTGCAGATGCCGAATGGGAGAATGAGGCTAGACTGGCCTTATCTGGCGAAACAGGAGACAGAGCACGACCAGCATCTTCAGTCTGTGGCTTCTCTGGGCCATGCAGATTTGTGTGGTGCTCACACAACTCTTCCAGCTGGCTCGTAGTTGTGTGGGCGAAAATGTGGAGAACTTGACAATCTGGTGTCGCCTCACTGCCTTCGTGGTCTATGGGAACAACTGCAGGGATTCGAGCTGTGGCAATGGCAGCCACTTCTGCTCTTTCTTGAGAAGAACTATGGATGCTCATTTGGGCAAAGAGGCTTGAAACTTCATCAGTATCCCCTGACTTCTGCCCTTTTGGCCTTTTCTTTTTATCTGTAATGACCACAAAACACTGTCTGTAAGATCTGAATCTGAAGTGTAATTGTGCATTATTATGTACTTGGTGTAGTTAAAAAGTATCATTCTCATTTTTTTTTCTACTTTTCCTTCCATAAGGTTTTTTGGTGAGTGTAATTTTAGGTTTTTACAGTATATGATAATATATGCCACATTTCAATTTATACTTTCACTGTACTCTGCCTATGATATTTTCAGCAGAAAATATATCTTATCAAACTGAGCAGAGGTACAAATGTGTGTCCTTTGCTTAGCAACACCTCTGAAATAAAAGGCTTAAGAGGAAGACCAATTTTGAAGAGCCATGATACAAAATCACTTTGAACTGCACAGCTGCAGCAGCAAAGGAGGAGACGTCTTATTTCTGGATGTTTCCTTAAGTGCTTTCATCACAAGAAAGAACATTTATAGCTGTTCTTATATTTTTAAATTGATATACTGAAGTGACAAAGGAAGATGTTTATTGTAAAATATTAGCTGCATCCTCTTAGCTCTTATCTCGTACGAGCTAAAGAATATAACGTATACAAACTTACTTTTGTTCTTGTTTTCCTCAGCCTCAGCCCTCTCCTTCAAAAACATGTCAACGGTCTCTGGGTAGGCTGACTGGAACAGAGATACCTCCTCAACTGTTTTGACTGTGTCCAGAGATTCTACAGGATGATCTTCTGCATAAATAAAGTGCTCTAAAATGCAAACAGAACCATTTTTAGTTTAGTGGTCAAAATGTTTGTGCAGAACGCAAATCGCAAAAGACAACAAGAACTGTAGGTGAGTATTTGTATGCAAAATATATGTTTAAAGTGCTCCAATGGAATTCTTAAACGGACAGGAAAAAAAATGGGTTTGCACTATTGCCTGAAACGTTTTTACAGTACAAATTCAACTTGAGTTTGGTAACTGAGAAATAATTAATCCGAACAAAGAATAAGACCTGCCTTCACTTTGATTAGACACAAGACTACATGCTTGGGGGTTGTTTGTGTAAGACCTGAGACTGGAAAAGAGGAAGTTCTCTTGACACCTTCAGGGACAGTGCCTAATTTGGCACCTTTAATCGGTATTAAACTTTCAATTTACAACAGGAAAAAAAACAAGTTCCTAAAGAAACAGTGCAATCTATAACTGTGAAATTTGGATTCTTCAGTCACTGTTTTTTCTTCCACTGCTTTCTATAATTTACATTTTAGGAAGAATAGAAGGACATTACATTTTTATCAGATGCCGTCTTGTAGCTGTGCAGAATAATGTATCATCTTAAAATAATTAGATGAATTGGTATTTTGATAACAGAGAGTTGACCAACAACTCAATCAGGAGATGGTCACTAGATTGACAGATGGGACTGGTACTGAGAAATGTGGAAAATGACATTGTGGGAGCATTATTAACTCCTATAATCAAGAGGGATCTCAAAAATAGCCAAATACAGTTTAGCATTAAACACATGCGAGTTAATAGGTTAGTTGGCACAATCTACCCATATAATCAAAATACATTTACTACAGTACTTTCCTGAAAATTTATATTATGGTAAAGTATGAGAGAAATGTATTGTAATCTAACGGAACAAGCAATTTACTAATCTAAAACTAGAAAAACCTGACTTTGCTAAAACATTTTAATACTGCCCATATAGTAGTATTTATTATAACAACAATTAGAACAAATTATTTTCTAGTCAACATAATCTGTGCATCAGTTTATAAAAAACTCAATAAGAACCCCTTATGGAAAATAATTTTCTAACCTGGTTTCTTCCAGATAATCTCATAGCAAGCAACTCCATTTCTGACTCTTGACTTGAATATCCTGCATAAAATAAACATGATTTAAATTTGTATTATTACATTTTTTTTACAAAAATAGTTCTCCATATAGCGTCTTACAGTTGCTGGCTACTGAAATGTAAATATGGCTTTATTGTATTTAACACTCTCTGAATGGAGTGTAATGTGAAAAGAGACTCTTTTCAGATAATCTAGCCGCAATACCATATTTAAAACTCTTAAACAGTACAATACCTTATTGGCTCTATCTGTGAAGCACTCTCTTTCCCACATTTTCTGTTCATCATTTCTGTATATGTGATCAACACAACCACCTTCTCACTTGTATAGTGTTCAGGCCACTCCATTTTGTCCAGAGCAAATTTCTGAAACATGTAAAGTGATGTAACATGATACAAACTGATCTTTAATAGTAGTAGTACAGTAATACTCCCAATCAGGAATAATGTTTAAACAGAAAACTCAAATCATTTAAGCACTAAAGGGTACAAAATGTGAAAAGGAAAAACGAAATACATTTTAAACTAATCAGAAACAAAACCAGAGATGAATCACTATTTTAATCATGTTTACTATATGAATACTAGATCTTACACAAAGCTAGCATTTACTCAGTTTATGTTTGCTTTCATAGTGACTGCAAACATCATCATTAATTCTATTATCTTAAATTTGAAATGGAAAATGAATACAAAAGTTGCACATGCAAGAACTGGCAGCGTCTTCTTGTAAAGTAGATAATTCAGCAGAGCAGCTGTGTGTATTGAAGAATGTGTTCTACATGCAGTTATCACTCCTCCGAGTGATGCTCAGTGCCGCGAACGGTACTGTGTGGTAATCAGTGGATATAGCTGTGTAGTGCTGTTCAGCTCATGTCACAGACATGTCATGTCTCCAAGCTCACTACGCTACTGGAAGTGATTAAAAGAAAAATAACTAGTAAAATACCATAAATGTATTGCTGGCAGTTACGTAGTTAAAAAACACGATTCATAATACATTAAGTATTTTTTACATTATTACAGATGCAGTGTGCTAACATAAAAATGCACACAATAAATAAATATTTAATTTTCCTTTGTACTATTTCTACACAGTAGAGAATCCAGCTTACCCGCATTGCAAAAAGATTTGGTTTTCTGTACTTGAGGTTTTTAGTAAGTTTGTCCTTGGATATCAGAAATTCCTTGATTATCTGAAAGAAGAATAATCAATGCTGAGAGGAAAATAGGAACTGAACATGACAATGAATTAAATACTTTATTAAAAATAAAATATGATCAGACCATTCTTATCAATGTGACAAATACTGACACTGATGATTACCTCTGAAAAAGGGAATCCTTCACATGCTAGGGCTTTTCTGTTGAGAAATAGGTAATATTTTGTAAAACAATTCACACACATTTCACAAAAAACACAACTTAGTTATTAGAATTGTAATAATTCAATATATTATAGAATAATATACATTTCTTTATAAATAACATCTGTATCTTTAAGATGTCATATATATTGTAACACACATTTCATAAATGTAATGTGCAGGGTGATATAGTTGGCTTCAGACTTCCCAAATATAAGCAATCTGTCTTCATTATAAATATTTATAAAAATTAATTGTGCAATATAAGTAACTGAATTACCTATTTGAAATTATAGTTAAAAATGAACAAAATATGAAGTTTTTATTATATTAAATCAAAGAAAATAATGCAAATGCATGTACAAATAACACTCAGTGTGACCCAAAAGTTAACACTCCTCGGGCCACAGATGACTTCAGTACACTTATTAAGTTACAAACACACTGCACACATTTTATAAATGAAATGTTTTAGCCTTACTACATAAGAGGAAATTCGTTGCGTAAAGAGCTATATTTATAGAGCTCAAAAACAAGCTCATTTGAGCAAGACGATTAAATGTATCAATAGGATAATATCAGAAAGGTTACAAAGTTTCTAACTGATCAGCAACAAATAATTTATAACATACACAGTATCCATTTGTCAGTATCCTTGACATTTACATTTAACCTCAAGATTAGTCATCTTCTAAAAATGCAGACAATATATCAATGTACTACGGAAATATATACAGTGTATATATTTAGATTAGCCCGTGTTTATTTTAATGAAACGTGAACTGAGTATTTCAGTGTACGAAGCCTAAACTTCCTGTCTAAATTTTGTGCTACGGTATTTGAACCCGATGCCTCTCTGGAACACCTAAGACATGGAGATTAGAGTGAAGGTGAAAAGTTACTTTTTGATGTTGAACTCTGCTGCACTAGCCTGCCTTCCTCGTTCTGTCTGATGCCAGTCACAGGGGCAGGAGTAGTCGTATCCCCGGGGCTCACAGAACCGTTTGCTGTTGCACAACTTGCATCCGTTCCTCTCGTGTGTCTTGGCAGATCCTGTGGAAGCACAAAAAAAATAGCCCCCCCACCCCTCTTCTGAAAAATCGTAATGACATTCATATACTGTACATTCCTGTTAAAGGCAATCAGAGGTGGGGATGGCACAGTGGCACAGCGCTGGGGCCCCGGGTTCAATTCCAGGCCTGGAGTTCCAGCCGTGTGGAGTTTGTATGTTCTTCCCGCAATTGTACAGGTTTTCTCCAGGTCCTCCTGTTTCTTTCCACAGTCCAAACACATGTTGGTAGGTTAATTGGCCGAGGTGCGAGTGTGTGTGTGTCTGTATTTGGGTCCAGCACTGAGATGGACTGGTTTGCCTCATGCTTCATGATTCCTGGGATAGGCTCCAGGCCACCATGAAGCCGGAATGGGATAAGCAGCAAACTCTGCACTACCCTCCGAAAAGGAGAACAATAACCCACCTGGGTGACAGCAGATTTGACAATGCGTTACTTTTTTAACAGCTCTTCTCTGAACGTCCAGATCCTGAGTCTGTTCCTTCCATTGGCTGAACCTAGAAATGAGTATTTCATATTGAGGAAATTCTCACTAGACAATTCAAGAGCCTAAATTTTAAAAGAATTGTCTAATGTTGCTTTGTTTTTTTACAACATTTAGGTCGGCCATCTACACATTTTACACATTTTTTTTCTCCTACACAGAGGAGAAAACAACAAATTCCGTATCGTATTAGTTCATTGTTTTGATATTTAGCCACGTCCATCTAGCGAGAGTGTAGCAGATTCTTCTTTAAGGTGTAGAATTGGGGTAGATGGGTTAAAAAATGCTGTAATCCAAATTTACACTGCTGTTCAAGTCACATTGCAATAGACAGTTTATGAGATTGTTCAAATATTTTCACAGATTATTGGAAACTGGAAAAGTAAGTAGTATTTACTGCCCAACCAATTGTCTTTCATAAGGCCTTTAAAACACTGCACAGAAATATGTTTAATAGGTCAATTCTTACTTCTGAAGGAGTGTTTCTCCCTTTAATGTCTCTATAAGTTTTAAAGTCATTTCTTTTCCAACTCCTGGTATTCCCTGGCAGAGAAAAAAAATAAAACGTCAACGTTGTCCATGTTAAGGTTGACGTTTGTACAGTATACAAACATTCGATTCTGCATTTCTGTAACTGCCTGTAATTGAAAGAGATAATATACACCTGATTCCTACCTTTGGAAGATAATCACAACCGAGCAGGATTGCAAAACCCACCAGGGTTTCCCGTTCCAGTCCCAGGATAGACTGAATCTTTTCCATTTTATAGCAGTCGAGTTGAGGATCCTGAAAAACAATGTAGTTGTGAAATGGAGAAAATGCCAGAGCAGAATAAGGCTTCGTAAACGTAAATAGCATGGAAACACCACAATGTTTATTAAAATACTTTTTGCAGTATAAAAATACTAATGTACTACTACAGGTACTGTAGTAGGTTATAATTACAAAAATAAAAAACAGAACACAGTTCCTGGGCACAGCACCTTTGAATTATAATCAGGAACACAAAAGCACATTCAAAATGACAGGCCTTCAGTTTACATCTAAGGGACTCTTGATATTTACCAGTCCTTATGTTAACTACGTTACATCTGGAATCTCCAGCCCAAGCTGATTAAATTAAGTAGCCTGTGATTGAGGAACTGATTAAATAAATTAAGAATAAGTAAGTTCCAAAGAACATAAAAAGCTCTACAAGGTAATTCTGCTACTTTAGAGTCCTTATGAGAAATCATTACTAACCAGGACAAACACAAGAACTCTGGTATAGCATGTTAGTAAATGAATAATATAGTAGATTCATTCCCTACAAGTTGGAGCCTATTAGTTTTATTATAAGTCTTACAAGATAAAATACAGCTTCAATGATCAAGGCAAAAAAATCACAAAATATTGTACAGCAGTCACAGCGACATCCTTCCTACTTTTAAATGGCAATGAACACCACATCCCAAACTACTTCATAAGATGAGCTGCAAACCAGAAGAAAAGCTTAGCTTCCTCACACCCAGAGCTGTTAAAATACATGCCTTTACAGGAAATTTAAAGGACCCAATTGTTTGTATCCCTGATTGAAAACCCCATAATTCTAACCTCTGTTGTAGTAATGTGGTGGCATGTGGCAGAACACATCTTCACACGTAACGTGTGGGCATACATCAGACTACAAATCAGAAGTTGCCCGATGCTTTTAAGGGATTGATACAGCTTTCCTCAATCCAGTACGCACATACCGTGCAAATCCATCTTTTGTAACGTCTTTAGATGAAAATAACAAAACCTGTTCCATGACCTTGTAGACATACAATGCAACGCCTGTTTCAAAACTGTATCATAAGCGGAGGAGTATGCTTACATTTACAGGGAATATTTATAGGCTACAATAAAAAAGCATACAAAGAGGGCTAAATTATTTTATGGATGTGTCACAATGTATAATTTTTATTTCACCAGTATTACTACACCCTTTTATTTAAAGAGCAAATTACAAGTTGACCTAATGCAAAAGAAATTCTAGCTCCAGTTACACTGCAGAAAAACTCCCCTTTGATTGAAATTATTTGTATGGCAAATTACTAGCAATTAGATTTATCCACTAATACCATCTATCAGACAATCACTGCAATGATTTGGCCAAGGAAACATTCTGTCTTTTATGCTTAGTATATATGTTTGTAATGCATATACTGAACATAAGAAATGTAAGAGATAACTAATATCCTACCTTGGTGTTCATGTTAAAGTTTCTGTAAACCGTCTGAGCTCCGTAAAGGAAGGCATCCCCATCGTTTGTAATACATCCATCCACCTGGCCGTTGGCATCCAGGTAGGCACACAGAGCTTCAGCCTCTCCCGCTGCCGTGACCCAAGGAATGCCGAGACAGTCGAGCATCTGTGAGCACTAGATACAGCACATAACGGCAAAACATTTAGAGCGCTCTGCAGGACAGCACAGTCCCCCTTACATCACATATTGATGTAATCTCCTCCCCACTGATAGCTGATGTGTGGGGAGCGTTCTGGCGCACTATGGCTGCCGTCGCATCATCCAGGTGGGGCTGCACATTGGTGGTGGTGGAGGGGAGTCCCCATTACCTGTAAAGCGCTTTGAGTGGAGTGTCCAGATAAGCGCTATATAAGTGTAAGCAATTATTATTATTAATTATATTAAAAACAAAAACAGTCTGATCATCTAAATTCAACATTACAAACAATCCATGAGTATTAGAACTCAGGGAGTTAGATAAGATAAGACATAAGATAAGATCACTTTATTGGCCATATACAATTTCTTGCATTAGGATTTTTTTTTTCGCATACCCCAACTTGCTCTCCATGAGACACACAGAGAGGGAGAGAAGCTTGGGGTCAGAGTGCAGGGTCAGCCATTTATACGGCGCCCCTGGAGCAGTTGGGGTTAAGGGCCTTGCTCAGGGGCCCAACGGAGTAGGATTCCTCTGCCGGCCGCAGATCCTCAGCCACAGTGCCACTGCTCCGCCCTTTGCTTATTAAATATGCTTATTTGTAAAATGTATCAATTAAAAATTAAACCTTGTACAGTAATTCTTTCTTTTTTTTTTCAGGAAGCATGCCAACAGATTAAAAGAAACAGTAAAGTCACAATTAACACAAAACACACAAACTGGTAGTGCTGCTTTTCCACCAATACTGACACACATTCTCTAGACCAGAGCACGTGAAACCACACACATCCTGACCTCTTTAAGTACAGACTTGAAATGGGACCTTCCAGTTTTTCCTGGTTTAGATGCAGGCTTCTTTAAGGGTCCAAATCTCATCTCATTTCTCTTGTTCATAGTCTCAGCTTTCAGTTTTGGCGCTTCTCCTTCCACCACAAAAATCAGCTTTATTCCCATAAGCGTTAGAGACATAACTCGGAAAAATAAATTTCTGACCAGAAAAAAAAAGACATTTAAAGGTTATGCTGATATATTCTCTCTTTTACAATCCAAGAAAAAATAAGCTACTTTTTTGGTGGTTACAGGTGAAAAGAAAAGTTCTATAGGTATTAGGATGAAAATTCAAATGAACACATCTCATTTCAAGTTCTCTTTTAATGGCAATTACATCTGCATTTTAATCAATGCAAAACATGTTTCTCTATAATGGTCACATAAATAGACTTGCACCTGTGATTGTGTCTCCTGAGATGCATAGAATTTGTCATCAGTTCTACATTAAACTATTACAAATGCATCTTTCATGTTTTTTTACAGTGAACTAGAAATTTAAGTTGTGATTAGCTGTGTTATTTTTTCTTAAATGTATAACCCTCCACTTAATTATACTATTCATGCTGTACCTTGTTTTGTATTATACTGTACTTATTTTAATTGGTTGTTATAACCATTTGCATTATTATATCACTCTACTCTATTGTGTAATTCAGACCTATGAAATACACCTTAATTTTTAATACAAAGAAAACATTAAGAATGGAAATAAAATATTAAATTGCTTGTATTTATCCATAATACATGTTTAGTTCATTACAAAAACTGCTCTGCTGGTTTTCATCTGAGAGGTATCAGTCATGAAGTCTTCATCTTGAGATAACTCACCTGAGATAAGGTTTAGTAACTTTCCCCATCATCTCTTTTACAAACTGAGCCTCACAAACCCACAGGCTTAAATCCACAGCCAAGGTCTTCCCACTAAGACTGTAGAGGGGCACAGATTCTCTCACTGGCTCCAGGATCGGCCATAACTCATTAACGCCCATGCTTCAAATTTTACAGTTCCGGGGTGCCTAGAATTAGATCAAAAGGTATTCAGATGAAAACACATAGCCCATCTGGCTTATTTTGTTTTATCTCAAGAGCTTCATTCAAACGTTTCTTGAAAGAAGTAATGGCATAAGATTTGACAGTGTTAATGGGTAACTTGTTCCAAGTTTCCACAATCCTTTACTAAAGACACGTCTCCCGTTATCAGTTTTAAATTCCCCTTGTTTTCCATTTCATGGTGTCCCGTGCTACATGTTTCACTGCTGATACCAACAAAGTCCAAAAGATGAACTAGTCAATGGCTTTGTGGATCTGAGTGCTTGGATCAGGTCCTGCTGTCAGTAAAACCAATAGACATGTAGATCAATATTTTACACCCGCTAAAATAACGTCACTTGGGTCCTATCTCAATCTTCCTTAAAATAATTATAATGCATATGTATATATCAGGTTTTCATTTGCATAGGACACGAAGAGAAACATGGAGTCACAATAGTCTCTTGGAAAGGTGAAAACAGACTAATGTACGTCAGGTATAACATGCTTTCTCCATCATAAACACCTGAATATCATTTTTTAACTCATGATGTAATTATTTAAAAGGGTAGCGTTATTTTAAACGTTTTATTTTGTGCTCCATTGGTAACTAGACATGCGTACCGGCTACAATGGATACAGTGGATGGATTTCAGTCAGGGTATCTACTTCACATATGTACATTTCTTTTTAAATTTTCACAAATTTCGTACACATTACTTAGAAATAAATGCTAAAACATCAGAGATGGCAAACGCTTTCTTCATAATAAAATTGGCTTGATTTACCTCTAGAACAAACACCCCTGAAAAGCGAATTTCAAATAGAGCGCTTCCAAACTCTCATCCTTCCTGCCTGCCTGAGCGCTTCACAGGACTTCCGGTTCCGGGTGTGTATTTACAGTTTCATTTAAAGCCATATCAACAAAATGAATCTTTTTTAATGATCTCTGTGACTTAAACAATTATGATGAAGAATGTGGGTTAGATTCATTTTGTATATGTGAACACTTGGAAATATAGCTATATGTAGGTGGATATTCAACATTTAGGCATTTCAAAAGAGCAACAGACATTGCATTTCGGAGATCGCTTCCGGTTTAGTCAAGGATGTGGGATGATTTAGACCGAGGGCTGAATCATTGCATGTACTAGTAAAACTTGAATTTACTGTCCAGGATGTATTGCCTGTACCTGAAAATACCTCACAGTATATGTTATCAATTTTGTTTGTTCTTTAAGATATGTTCGCTTTTGTTTTGGTTAACTTTAGGATAAGCATGTGCAACCGTAATATCTAGAATATATACGCCAAATTTTCTTGAAAAAGTCATTGAATTCCAAGGTTTAGTAAGACTTGATGATAACAAGCTTGCTCAACACCACCTTGATCAGTACTACCTGGGACTTCGCTTACAGCCCTTCCTGTGGACTCTTTCTGATGTGACAACTCCCCAGATGGTGCTGTTTGTATAACAATAGCTTTCTTGAGAGAGGGGAATAATAAATATAATAAACTTTATTTTATATAGCGCCTTTGAAAGTGGCTTCTCAAAGTGCTTTACAGGATGACAATAACAATAAATAAGATGAATACACAAGATAAAACACAATTACAATATATAGAGGAGACTGTGAATGGTGGTACTAAATTATGTTTTGACAGTATGCTTCACATGTGGGTCAAATGTTAAGCCAGAATCAAATATCACCCCAAGGTTTTTCAATTTTGATTGAAGCTCAAGTACAGAACCATCTACAGATAGGGTTACAGAACTGGCTTTATGAAGTTGATGGGGGGTACCAATAAGCATGACTTCAGTCTTGTCGCAGTTAAGATGAAGGAATGTGACAGATAAGCTGTGGATGCCTGTGATTTATCAGATTTAAGCCTCATTGAACATTTGTGGGATGAGGTTTGGCATCTAGGCCTCGGAGACCAGTGAGCAGAAACATGATTCTCTATGTTCTATGACAGGAATGGGACAAAATCCCACAAGACAGCAACCGCAACATCATCATATGTTTACCAATGGAATAAATTAGTATGGACTTTATTTTACCTTTACCCGGGTCTTTGTGCTTGCGTCAAAAAAGGTTTCAAAAGTTTTTTTTTTACTTAGTTCAATATAGGTTTTGTAAAATGTTTTGACACGACTTTCATTTGTGCTGTTTTTGTTATCTTACAAGGGCTTTTGAAGTCGTTATGACACCATGAAAAGACGCCGTTAAACTTAGTGATATATAGTAGTCCTCACTTATTATGTGAATTACGGTACTTGCGAGCCCATCACCTATGTTCTTGGATTCTGCGCATTTTGAATTCCTAAGTCGGAAAGAGCGCGGTATGTGACACCCATCCAGGGAGGTATACAAAGTCCGGTAAAGTATTGCTATCTCAAGAAATATTGTATATTTTTCTGTAATAATAGCGACCGGGCGAGATAACATACATTTCTCAGATAGAAGATATCAGTGACACTTATGCTCAGTGAATGCATACGGCGAATGAATGCAACTGCAATAGCAGTACTTTTGGGGGAAAACAATTTCTGGTTGATGGTTGATGTATCGCTATTTCGTTAAACTGATTTTTGAGCAACTGTCGCGTTTAGTACAACGAATGTTTTAACGACGTGATGGTCTTAAATCGAGTGTTTTACGTAAACTATGTTATAAGGTGCTTAAACGACCCTCCAGTGTTGTGTCAACTTTTCAATACAAAAAAAAAAAATTGCCGGGTGATCCCTTTGCCACTTTGCTTTTCGGGGCTCCTTTCTTAGCATTGGCGAGTTTTTCCGCTTTGGGGGCCTGGGAAACTTGACTGTACCAGCATCGACGCAAAAACTTTCCCAGTACAGTACTGCTGCCTGTGCCTGGAATCGCAGCATCTCAACGATTGTCTCCCCGGTAACCAGCACGAGCATCAGAATCCACCCGGGACCCCACTCCCACTTCCCGTGTTGACTGCGTGCGGCGTGTGCAGTCGGTGCCAGCGCAGTTTCGCTTTCTGTTTGCTCCAGAGCAGTCTCAGTTCCTGGAGGAGGAATGGACGGAAACGTGCCTGTGTGGTGACGTCCAAGTCTTGATCCCTGGTTAGCTAGATGCATTGCATGGTTTTTTTTTTTGTTTTGTTTGGTGGTTGGGGTGGGGGTATTGCATTTTTTTTTAAACCAGTGAGCCTTTTGATCGCGCCGTGACGCGTTTTTCTCTCAGTCTGCCCTTTCATTACGCCGAGAGGAGGTAAACATACTGTAGTTGCTTCATGTGAACATCACCCCCTCCTGAAGAGTCATGCGACTTCGTGGCTGGGGGTTTCGTTATTGCGGCCTTGCTTCTGCTGGATGCAGTAGTCATTCAAGTCTCTTTGATGCTGGCATAATGCAGTAGAAGCTACAGTGGCAGTCAGTTCATTAAAATGTTGTTTAAGGATGTCAAAGAGCATTTTAGGGTTCTTGATGGGTTTGCGGTAGTATTGCTGCATAATTTAACCTTAACTATATCCTGAGCTTTTATCATTAATCTAGTCGGCACTTCTTGTGACTGTTTATGCATGGGAAACCTACTGTACTTTTCTTCAGGCACAAGTATATGATTTCCTCTCATTCATGGGTTGAGTACATGCTAGAACTATCCCACCTGAAGAGCAGGAGTCCAGGGTATGTCACTACATTACCAAGTGATCAGCCGATAGTTGATGCTCTTCTCCTTGTGCTTTGTGCAGTTGAGCTATGCGTTTTTTTTGCTCACTTTCATTTTTTAACCCGGCAATTGTGGAACGACTCATTTGGTGGTTTCATTGTGCGATGTGGTTATGCAGATCTGGGCAAGTCTGATTTAATACCCGAAAAAAAAATTGTGCATTTTGTGTGTGGGGCAAAATTACAGTGAACCTAGAACACCTGTTATGAAGCATTTCAGTCAATACGTCAAATAATTATTGATAACTCCCAACTTGTAAGTGATTTCTCTAGAATATACCCAAGTGGTACGTATAATTAGAGGCACATGGATTCTTTGTTCTCTGACACAGCTTTGGTGAGAGGAGTAATAATCCAGGCACACTTGTTTAAACAAATATTTATTACTACGACAAGACACAAACTACACAAACATACAACACACAAGTTACTCTACGTACAGTATTCACAAACAAAAATAGGAACACTTTTAAATTTGACCTGTAGTTTCCTTTTGAGTTTCCAAATGTCAGTCTCCAAATTTATGTTGGAGTTTCAGAATTTGAAATTTTGGATCACTTTCATTCTCTTCCTTCATTTTGCTGTCTGAAAACAATCTATGATCCTATTATTTTTCAAATGCCAAATGCCTTTAGACTAAGATCTGAATGCTTCTGAGATGATGAACACTGTATTTGCACAGCTTAGTATGAGTAAAATATTAACTTGCTTTATTCTCAACTACACCTGACAGTGCCCATCCAGTACACAAAGAGTTCTGTAATTACGGAAATACTGTATTTAACTAACTGAAGGTTTCACGCAAGATCTTGTGTGATTCAGCCATGTCACCCTGCAACTCACAGCTAGCAACTCACTGAAGCTCAGCAGGTGTGAGCCTGGTCAGTACCTGGATGGGAGACCTCCTGTATTGTATTGGAGACCATCTGTATTGAGATAGGGACACTATACTGTCCTTCAAATGAGATGTAAACCGAGGTTCAAACTCTCCATGGTTATGGTCTCCATGTTTCTTGAAAAGAGTAAGGGTGTTACGCCAGTGTCGTAGCTGCCTTTCCCTCTGGCCAGTCATGGCCTCCTAGTAATCACCATCTATGAGCTGGCTTCATCACTCTGTTCTCTGCAATAATAGCTGGTGTGTAGGGAGCATACTGGTGCACTATGGCTGCCGTCACATCATCCAGGTGGGGGCTGCACATTGGTGGTGGTGGAGTTGAGTCCCCATTACCTGTAAAACACTTAGAGTGGAGTATCCAGAAATACGCTATATAAATGTCAGAAATTATTCTTATTTACTCTGGTAAATACAGTATTTCCATAATTTCAGAACTCGGGTTTCTTTGTGTGCTGGATGGGTACTGTCAGGTGTAGTTGAGAATAAATCTTGTTCACTCAGGTTCTCAATCTCTGCCAAGTAGGAACACAGGAGCTGTAAATCCATCGCCACATCTGGGGTGAACATCACAGGATCTTGTTAATCGCATTTGTGGCGGTTTTGGGAAACGTTTCATACACTCTGAGGTGTTTATTTTATGATCTCAGGGCCCCATGTCCTTATATAGTAGTGTAACAGTGTGTGTTTGTTGGTGTAGTTGCGTATCAATGCAGTTTTGTGTTTCACAGAGACAGAGAAGAAATGTCCAAGCGAAAACAAAATGCCCCAAGCGAGAATGCGCACAAGAGGGCACGGACAGCCCCAGAGGAAGACTCGGATGAGGACTCCGACTCCTCTAGACACGTCTTCTCTGCCACTGCCAACACCGCACACTTGGTATGGATTATTTACCTACAGTCATCCTAACAATTACACGGCACATTTCAGTCATTCTCGGCATGTTTCATTTTTTTCACATGCTTTGATCCCGTTTGTAAGATTCATAAGCTGTGAGAAATAATTCCCAACTTTATTTTTAATCATTTCATATTTGCTGATTCAGCTGGGGAAAATGTGTAAAATATGGGGCATCTGGTGTGAAGGTCATTATGGGAGGTACACATGGAGTTTGGAAAACGTGGATCCTGTCGTTGCAATGTAATTATTCGGTCTTGTAGGTCTTGTATTTCAGAGTTCCCAGGTAGATTTCTTTTGGACAGTTTCTTTTTTCAGTCTGAGTCCTAGACAACAGGGGCAGGTTTTCAGAAATATTCTGCATGTGCTGTAGTTTAGCATTTTTAACAGTCTTTGAAGTCCCTTGTGTATTTATTTCTCATTCTCTTCTACTTCACAATGCTCAAGAAATTAATTTTACATTTTACTCATGAACGTTTTCTCTAACTTGGACTGCAAGGCATTTAATATGAAATTAGGGAAAGTTATCAAAAGCCATCTGCCTTTTGGATTTCATTGTTTTTTTCCTTTAGACTTCCGG